GTAAGGTTGAAGCTGCACCCGTCATCCCTTTCTCGGATCTTGACTGGTTCTTTCACCATCTTCCTCGCCTCTCTCCCGACGTGCTCACGAACGTCCCCATGGCGGTGGACGAAATCCCGTTGCCGGGCCAGCTGGGGACCTCATATAGGCGCGCCAGAAACACTGCGGCGGGCCCGGATGGATTCTCAGGCAAGGTCGTGTCTTCGTTTGCTGCTGAACTCGCACGGTATTTGCACCCGCTATGCGTGAAATTCACTGTTCGTGTTTGCGAGCCCATCCAGTGGAAGGGAGGGTTCTACTGGTCGCTGCTCAAGTCTGGTTCTGCCTCTCAGCGATCGTGCTATCGCTCTATTCTGGGGTCGTCTCAGTTTGGTGAGCGGTTTCGGAGCATCACTCGTGCGGACGCCCTCCAGATCTTGGCCTCGGTCGCTGGCGATCGACAATTTGGGGGCTTGCCTGACCGTGGGACCGAGTTCGGGGCCCTGGAGCTGAGGCTTTTTTTTGGTTTTTCTTTTTTTTCCTTTCTTCAGCAGTTGGCCGAATATAGAAGGGCTTCGGTTTTACTCATGTTCCAGGATGTCGTGCAGGCCTACTACAAATGCGTTCGCGAGTTGGTTATGCGCACTCCCAGCGACGATGCATCGTTGGCCGTGCTGCTGCGGGCCTGTGGTCTGCCTCCAGAGGCCATGCAAGAGCTACAGGAGTATATCGCCAGCAACCCTCCCATGATGGACGCCAGCGGACTGTCCCCCCTTCGGTGCGCACAGGTCGCCGATGCCTATGCTCCCTCTTGGTTTTACGTCCAGGATGCGACCACGATCGCCTTCCCCCAGCTCGGGTCGGGCCCAGGGCAGCAACTGGGCGATGTCGTTTTTAACTTTGTGATGCCATCTACTATGCAGCTGGGTCGTGACAGGCTTTTACCCCTGGGCATTGTCTCGCGTTTACCTACTGCCGCATGCGCGTCCATGGCCGAGTATGGACAGGCATCATCTGAACATCGAGGCCCCGTGCACCAGTCACATAGCATGGAAGGTGCCTTCTTCGACGATGCAGTCTTCTTTTTCCTGGGTCTGGCTGAGCAGTTGCTTACTCTGGGTCCGCTGCTTGCTGCCGAGATTGCCGATGCTTTTGCTGCTCGGGGGTTCCGGCTGAACACCAAGGTTGGGAAGTCGTCCATGCTGTTCCAGTTCAGAGGTCCTGGGTCCACCAAGGCCAAAAAGCAGCTCTGGGAGACTCTTGGTGGCGTCTTCACTGTTCCGATCCGGTTTTCAGGAACTTTGGAGGTTCATGCTGTGCATCAGTACGTGCATCTCGGGACGACTCAGGACGACTATTGCTCCATGGGCCCGGAGTTGGCTCACCGTACGCGGTCGTGCGCGAGCGCGTGGCTTTGCTTGCGCAAGCGCATCTTTCGACAGCCCAGCATCGACCCCTCTGTCGCCGCTGTCCTGCTCGACTCGTTGGTGACCTCTGGGAAGCATTTCCAGGCAGGCACTTGGGGTTTCTTGTCTGACGCGCAAGCTCGTGGTCTTGAGGATGATGTTATTCGGTATTATCGTGCCATCTCCAAGCAGCCACGGAGAGACGGATCAGCTGCCAACAACCTGGCGGTTCTCGGGGAGGTTCTGAAACCGCCTGTGTCTGCCTTGCTCAGTGCTCAACGTCTTCGGTTGCATGGTCGACTACTGGTCTCTGGTCCTTCTCATCTCCTCGTTCTTGCTGCTCTGCGTCGTCAGGAGTGCTTCCGTTCTTGGGGGCATCAGGTTTTGAGCGATCTGCAGTGGGCACGCCTGTTCCATTCTAGGCTGCATGATATGCCGGACCCCCGCGATGACCTCGGAGCTTGGGAGGTGCTCATTCGTCAGTCGGCCACGTCTTGGAAACGTATCATCCGGGATTCCCTGGTGTCGCACGCCCGTCATGTTCACTTGTATGCGCTGCGTGCTACCTCGGAGCGGGTGACTTCCGATCTCATGCGGGACGCTGGGGCGCCCTTTGCCATTAGTGATCCAGAGCACCCCCTTCGGAAAGCTGAGGATGAGTCGTGCAAAGTCTGATCTTGCCCGTGGTGTCGAGAACCTTTCGGCCGTGCCAGAGCGCTTCGTTCACACATTGTTCGTCGCCATCATTCTCGTGTTGCTCTCGTGCGTCGTTTCCTGGGCGCCGACCTCACTTGCTGTGCATGGCATATGCGTTTCAGCCACCGGTCTGCCTTGGCTAATCATGTTTCCTTTGATTCCCCTAAGTGTGTTCTTGTTTTACTGTGGTTGGGTCAGCAGGAACCACAAGCTCGGGTGGACGAGCTCAATGCCCTCGAATCGACTCGTCGCGCCGAGCAGCGCCGATCTGGGCTGGGACGCTGGCGCGTCGCGGTCCCGGCCTCCAGGCAGGCTGGCACGGCCCCCCAGGAACTCCAAGCAGTGTTGCAGCAGTTATCTCACGACGATGCTAGGATGTTCTCCTGGAGTCTGATTATGCACTAGATCCGGCATCTATCTCTGTGCTCTTGAGTATTTTCTCCGATGGGACTCCAGAGCCGTCCACTTGGGCTTCTGATGTTCGGCCTTATTCTTCTCGGCCTCAGGATTACACTGGCATAGCATGTTCTTCAGTCCCCTATTGGATTCGTCGCCCTGTCTTCTTCGCCCTGCACTTGTTCAGTGGACAACGTCGGCGGGGTGACATCCAGTGGCAGTTAGAGCAGCAGTATTCGTCTCCAAGTGTTGAGCTGTTCATGCTTAGCATCGACCCGATCCGTGGCGACCTCACGCGGGAAGGTTCGATGTTGGAGTGGGCTGAGCATACCAGATCTCGTAGAGTCATCAACGCGGGGGGGGGGACCTCCCTGTGAAACCTGGTCCGCGTCCCGTTGGCATGAGGGAGGTCCCCCCCCCCCCTCAGGTCTTCGGAGTATATCTGGGGAGTTCCATGGGCTACGACTCGGCAGTGTGACCAACTCCGCGTAGGTAGCATGCTGCTTTATGCCGTCGTCCGCCTTATGGCGGAGCACTTCAGAGCAGGAACAGGAGCCTGGCTGGAGCACCCCGCGCCCGCGGTCTGGGCCCCGCGTGCGCCCACCTCTTTTAGGTGGCCCCCCCCTTGTGGCTCTTTCTTCGGCCCCGTGTGCGGCCACTACGGTTTTTGACCAGGGCGAGCATCACGCTTCTGATATAGACCCTGCCTCTGTTGGGCGTACCCCACATGTGTAGTTTCTCTCCGCATTCTTGGCCTGCATAATGCATTGCATTGCACTCCTGGCCAGGGCAAGTGCTCTCACGGTCCCAGGGCCCACGTTTGCTTGCTTGGCAAAGACGCGTCTGGTGCTTTTCGCACCGCCTCCAAGAAGGTGTACCCGCCAGGTATGTGTGCTGCCCTGGCTAGCTCGATTTGGCACAGTGTTCTGGCACTCGCTGAATCCCCAGACGCCGAGAGTGATCTTGAAGTGTCGCCTATTTCTGAGCAGGTCATGTCTGAGCTTAATGAGTTTTATGTTTCGGCCTGCTCGGACGATGGGCCTCCCGACCCGGCTTTGCAGCCTGACTATGCTGGGTTCGGTCGGCCCCGTGGTCATCGTCGGGTAGATCCGGAGAAGGCTCGGTTTCAGGATTCTGATGCCGAGGATGAGCCTGGTGAGGACCCCTCCCCTGGCCCCGTTACTGCTATCGACGCTGCCGACGAGCAGTCTGTCATAGACCAGATTGTTGGCACCCAGGAGGAGCAAGCCACTCATTGGGTTTTCGTCTCCTCTCCCCCCCTTCCCTTTCCCCTCCCCCGCCCTCCCCCCTTCCCCTCTCCGACGCCCAGAGAGCGCGCGTTGCTGCCAACAGGGAGGCGGCCCGACGCCTCCGTGAGGCGCGCCGCCGCCGCGAGGTGGCGCCGTGGGGATAGGCCCCCCCGCGCCCTCCTCTCTTCTCTGCGCCCGCCGTCGGGGACACGGCGGCCGGGGAGGCACAGGCGACCGCGGCCCTCCGAGCCTGGCTCGGATAGGCCGGCCCGCCTGCCCCTCCCAGCCGAAATTCTAACTTTCCGGCTGGTCGGCCGGGCCTGTCGGAGTATCCCTGTTTATGGAGACGGGCAACCTTCGCCCGCCCTGGAGCCGAAATTCGAATTTTCCGGCTGGTCGGCCGGGCCTGTCGGAGTATCCTTGTTTATGGTGACGGGCTACTTTCAAGAATTCGATTTCAGTAATCGTCTCGAGTACGCTGACCTCAGCCTTACCGCCATGCGACGACGACTTTCCTCCTCCCTCCTCCCTCCTCCCATCCTCCTCCTCCTCCTCCGCCTCCTCCTTCCCCTCCTCCTCCTCCCTCCTCCATCGAATTCTTGGGGGCCCCTGCGCAACGGGGCCCCGGTCACCGCCAGTAGTAAAGAGGCATCGACGTCGCCCCCCCCCCGCCTGCCCCGGTCCCTCTTTCACCACCGTCGCAGCGCTTCAAAAGGGCCATTCGAGAGTGCGCCCCCGTGTGCGAACGCGAGGGTGCCTCCTCTCGCTCTGCCTTGTGCCTCTGGCCATGTGGGCCCAGGCGCTCGGCCATTTTTCAGCAACCGACTTTTGGATGTCAAGTTCCTGGGAATGGCTCGGGCCCTTGCTCTGCAGAGTCCCCGTCTCCGCCGCCCGTAAGCATCAGCGCCCCTTTTTTAATACCACCATCGAACCGCTTGGGGGGCCATTCGAGGCTACGCGTCGACGCACTTTCCCTGGGTCATGTGGGAACATCTTGGCCATGGAGGGGGGGACAACAATCCATGACAGATATGGACACAATGGCGGACCATCCCGAGGCGCCAACGCCAGCGCGCGGGGCCTCCTCCTCCTCCTCCTCCTCCTCCTCCTCCTCCTCCTCCTCCTCCTCCTCCTCTCCTCCTCCTCCTCCTCCTCCCCCCCCCTCCTCCTCCCCCTCCTCCACCTCCTCCCCCTCCTCCTCCTCCTTTTCCTTCTCCTCCCCCTTCTCCTCCTCCTTGTGTCGATTCATTTCTGGCGCAGTGGGGTCCTCTAGGAGAACCCGCTGCCCGACCCGGCGCCCGCGGACTTGTCGAGCTGGGCCGACGGGCCGAAGGCCGCGGAGGCCGCGGGCCCCACGGGCGGCGGCCTTTGCGGGGTGGGGCTAATGGAGGATGACGATTAATAAATAACCGGGGGTCGTGTTCACGCGGCAGCGCCCGGGATGACGATCAGAAAAAATTGGCCGCGGGCTGGAAAGTTACTCTTTTTATCGTTCTTCTCCAGTCAGAAAATTATGCAGAAATAGCAGGAAACTATTTTTTAATCGTTCCCTCCCATTTGTTCATTAACCGTCATCCCGCATTACACGTGAGGTGCGGGCGCTGCGGGGGGATCCCATGCGACCCAGACCCCCACGATGGAAGGCTCTTCGTGATTTTCAGTGTCTGTGGGCCCTCGCAGGGCCCCCTGTGCCGTCAACAGGTGGTCCAGGATGAACCACTGGTCCGGGGGAGTCGGTCGGGACATTTGGGGGTCGGTATGATGACATAAACCAGTACGTTGGCGGTCCAGTGATCCACCTACTCCAGATTTCGTAATAAAGGGAGGGGGGTCTCATTTCGGGGAGGGTCTCTTCCAGGCTATCTTGTAGGGCCTGGGTGGCCGTGGGACGATGTTTTGGAGGGTTCTCTCACGGGGGAGGTCTGAAATGGCTTGTCTTGGAGGGTCCAGACCCCCTCCCTTTTATTACGAAATCTGGAGTAGCTACCTTGAGATCCAAGGTTCGACGTTCCCCACTTTTTTCTTCTTCCCTCGGCGGCTCTGCAGCTTCGGGACGCTTTCCAGCAGGTGCGCCCTGCCGAGGGCTCTGATCTGGAGACTGGACCGCCCCGAGCGGCCGATGGCTGACCGAGGTGTGACCCGACAACTGCGGGGCAACTCTTCGTGAGGCAGACCCTTGAGATCCGGTCGCTGCAATGTTGCGTTCTTGTTTTGAGTCGGTGGGGTCCCCCTCAGGAGGGGGTCGACCTGGGCCGCCAGCAAAAAACGCTTTTAAGTCTCACAAATTTCAGCACCACAAAAAATGCCCCATCCGGGAATCGAACCTCCCGACCCCCAAATTCAGCACCAATATATCAGGCGTCTGGAAAAAACGGATGGAGCATTTTCATGGTTTTTGGCCTTTCTGTGCCCTTCCAGGGCCTCGGGACCGTCAGCGAGCGACTCGCGATGAACAACTGGTCCCAGGGACGTTGTCGAGAGGTCGGGGGCCCGCTGTGTCGAGCAAAACGAGGCGCCGGATGTCTGGGTGTCGATCCTTTAGATCCGTGCGTTGCAGTTTGTTCACGCATGGCACATGGCTCGAAAACTGACGCAAGAAGATGCGGTCTAGGTCTCCGCTCGTGATTTTTCGCCACGGGGTCCGCAATCGGTGCCACGTGGTGACCACACCGTGTTGTGAGTCGGTCAGTGGGGATTCGGGGTCACCGCACGGCTGTTGGACTTTGGCCGTTCTTTGAGGATGTCTCGGGTGACTGGGGCCTCGAGGGTCCGTGCGGTGACGGGCCTTGCGGTGAGGTCGTTGGGGGTTCCGAGGTCACGATGCGGTCACGGTTGTGGGACCTTGGGGAGAGATACGGGCGTCGCACTGCTCCTTATTGGCGCCTCGCCCGAGGCTTGTGGCAGACGTGACAACAGGCCGGGGAGGAAAGCGTCCCACGGGGGGGGGACGGGGAGCGAGACTTTGGTGAGACCGCCCCGTCCAGAGGCAGCCTTCGCTCGCGATTGCTTCGTCTGTGGGCCGCGGCAGCAAACGATTCGTTTGTGGGCCGCGCGGACCCTCCCCTCGATCGCTCGCCGCGGGGCCCCGCCCGACGAGGGGCCCTCGGCGCGGCGCGGCCGGAGGCCAGCGAGCTCGTCGCCGCCAGCATCCGGAGCCTGGTGGGCGACCATAACCTGACCATCGCCGCCTTCGACCGCTGGGCGGACCAGACGGTGTGCCGCCACGGGGGGGCACCACCCTGGGCACCGCCTGCTGTGCCCGGCGGTCGGCCCTCTCCCCTGTGGTCGATTACACGCAAGAGTGGCCTTTCGCCGGAGCGACCTTTTTGGTGCGGGCACGATGGGGTCCCCCGAGCACTGATTTTGCGATGCAGCAGTAGCGTCCTGCGCGCCCGAGTTTGGTCCCCCCGCGGCCCCCCCAGAGCCACGCAGCCAAGGTCCCTCTTGCCCAGGGTCACTCTCGCGTGCAGCCGATATGTGGGCCCTCCCCTGTGGGCCCCAGGAGGAGGCCAGGAGGGCGTGTGCTGCAGTCGGGCACGTCCCTCTGCAGGAGGAGCATCTCAAAATAGTACCAAAAAGCTCATGGGGATGATGGTTCGACGATGCCTCACTATTTTTGAGTATGTTTCGACTTTTGTTTTTATTCCCTCAAGATCCGCCTGTAGGAGGACATGCCCGACCTGAGCGTGCGCACCAGTGCCGCCCAGGACGGCCCCCGCCGGGCACAGTGGTTGTGTACCCTGAGATCCGACGTAGCGGGAAACACACGGAACACCGCGACCAAATCACCAACAGACCTCTGGACCTTGTAATCTCTTTTTTCTGCACTCCTCGAGCCCGATCGATCTGTTATGATGGTCGCGGGGCCCAAGACTGGGCGAAGATGCCCAGCGTGAACCAAAAACTATGCAACGCCCAGACCTCAGGGCAGAGGTGCCCTCTGCGCAGGTGTCCGGCCACCTCCTCTCTGGGGAGGGCTGGGAGACCGAGCACACCAGGAGCCTCTGCAGCACCTTCCGGGACGTGGGCGGCGGCGTGGGCAACTTCCTCGACGTTGGCGCGAACATCGGCACCTTCACCATCCCGATGGCGGACTGCCTCGCTCACGTGCAGACTGCCGCGCTCGAGGAGGGGAGCACGGGAAGAGTGATCGCCGTGGAGGGGATGCCACCTACCGCTGACCACCTCGTGGTGGGAATCCTTGCCAACAGGCTGCATAACGTGGACGTGTACACCTACGCAGTAGGCGGACCGCACGATCCGAGGCGCGTGACCATGTCTCTCAACCCCGTGAACAAGGGTGGCTCTGCCGTGAAGGGCAACAAGCCGTTCACAAACATGAGCGACGATGAGTTGCAGGATCTCTTCCACCCGAACAAGAAATCCCGGCAGTTCGCGAAGAAGGTCGAGGTGAAGGATTTCAGCGTGGAGCTTACCACTGGCGACCGCATGCTCCATGGAAACCCGGCGATGAAGGCCATCATGGTCGCGAAGGTCGACATCGAGGGTCACGAGGGCCACTTCCTCCAGGGCTCTCAGCTTCTCTTCTCCAAGTTTCCCCCGTGCTTCATGACCATCGAGCTGATCCCAGAGTGGCTGGAGCGCGCTGGCACCCCAGTGCAGGGGATTCTCGATCTCCTGGAGAGCTGGGGCTACAAGCATGTCCCCACCGTCGAGCAGCTCAGCCAGGGCACCGTCGAATCCAAGACCCGCACGGTCGAGCAGCGCGACATGGCCAAATGCTTGCAGCGCGTTAGGTCGTACGCTGCTCAGCGGTGAGCGTGCTCATCCTCTTCCTGCTATTGACCCTTCTCCCCTTCTTGCATCGGGGCTCCCTGCTTTTCTCTCTTCTTCCTTCTGTCATTGCGCACGGTTCAGTTGTATGCTTTGTGTTGGAGTTGTCCTGCCATGGCTTGACTGATTTAAAGCAAAGACATCAAACCAGAGAGACCAGATCGGCTGACTGCGCGAAAGTTTGAGAGGCAGTGGTCTGGTGCTGGGCCAGGGAAAGGGGCAGCGAACGTGGTTTTCCATGCTATCCAGTTCACGCGCTGCTTCATAATCTGCATCCTGTGCTGCCAATCTCTACCATCTACTCTCTATCTTGCCCTGTCCACCGCCCGCTTCATCCGATCTCTGCCTTCCGCCCTCTGCTCTCCACTCTGTGCCCTCTGCCCTCTGCTCTCCTGTCGCCACTGTGCTCTCTGCCTATGTTCTCTGCTTTACCTCTCGCGATGTAGTTCTCTCCTACGTTCTCTCCTATGTTCTCTGCTTGCGTTCTCTCCTGTCACCACTGTAAGCTCTCCTATGTTCTCTGCCTATGTTATCGGATTTACCCTCTACCCTCTGCTCTCCTGTCACCTAGATCATCGCGAGTAGTCCCAAAAGAGATTCTACAGGCTTGCGCCACATCCGCCGACCCCTTGTATTCCTTGTGATAGCAGCGCGAAGTCGTCAAGCATCATTAGTCGTTTTCTCTCGTCTTGCAATGTCTGGTCCCTGCATCGCGGCATTCAATGCAGCTTACCTTTCGTCTATAACCTTCGTTTAGGATGCAATATCTTATGATAGCATTCAGTGCAGCTTACCTTATGGTTGTCTTACTTTGAGATGCAAGGGGCTGGGCTCCGGCCCGCCCGCGCCGCCCCTAAGGGGCCTGCCAGCCCGTGAGGCGTTTTCCCACAATCGGGGAAGCACGGGAGACCTTCTGAGAGTTATCGGTGAAACTCTCACCACAATTTGGAAGACCTGGTCAGCTCCCCGTCAGGCGTTTTTCCGCAATCGGGGAAGCATGCAAGACCTTCTGAGAGTTATCGGTTTAGCCCTCAGCATTCGAGAAAACTGGACGTCCCAAATGGTCCCAAGACGGTTCAAGAGGGCCCCAAGACAGTCCAAAAGAACCCCTAAAAGGCCCCAAGAGGACGGCCCAGAAGACCCAGGGCAAATAAAGAGTGATCGGTAACGCAGAGAGCTCATCACGCCAAGGCTCCCAACGGCGAAAGCGGGGAGAGACGGCTTTATCCCGATACCGTCAAGACGGCCGAAGAGGGCCTTCTCTTGGCGGCCTGTTGGGGCTCTCTTGGCGGCCTCTAGGGGCTTTCTTGGGAAGCTCGTGGTGCTTTCTTAGGGCTCTCTCGGTGTCGTCTTGAGGCCCTCTCGGGCCGTCCTGGGGACCTCTTGGCCAGCCACCAACAGGCTTCCAAGAGGTCCGCTCCCAAGAGGCCGAGGCGGAAGGGGTGGAGGGGGAAGGGGGGATGGATGGGGAATGAGGCAGAGGGGGGAGGAGGAGGAGGAGGAGGAGGAGGAGGAGGAGGAGGAGGAGGAGGAGGAGGAGGAGGAGGAGGAGGAGGGAGGAGGAGGAGGAGGAGGAGAAGGGGAGAGGAGGAGGAGGAGGAGGAGGAGGAGGAGGAGGAGGAGGAGGCGGAAGAGGTGGACGATGAGGATGAGGAGGAGCAGAAGGCAGGAGGGGGAGGAGGATGATGAGGAGGAGGAAGAGGAGGAGGGGGAGGAGGAAGAGGGGGAAAAGGAGGAGGAGGAGGAGGTGACAAGTCGTTCAACGCCACGGCTCTCGGGAGCGCGGGGAATTGGAAACAAATCTTAACGCCAAGGCTACCGCTAAGAACGATGACGTAACGAGTTTCGATCACCAAGGTTGCGATTGCGCACAGTGGTGTGAAACATCGCTTCCAGCGCCAAGGCTGTGATTACGCGAGCTATCGCGGGCAAGTCCTTGAAACGCCCTTTCCGTTCCCGTGCTGGTCCACGTGACGGAAAGAACCAGGTACGAGTGATGACGTTGTGTTTGGGCGAAGACCTCGAGGGAGGGGTCCTGGGGAGGGGGGTGGGGCGGATGGGTGAGTGTGAATGGCCGCTCGGGGCGTGTTGGGGGTCTCTTGGGCGCTTCTTGGGCCGTGCTGGGCGCTCACGACGGTCCAAGAGGGGTTCAAGACGGCCGAAGATACTTCCAAGACGCCCAAGAACGCTCGCCCAAGACCGCCCAAGACTGCCCAGGGGGGCTCCACGACGCCCCACAAGGCGCCCACGGTGCGCCCCCAAACGCTAAAACACATTGATTTTCCAAAGGAAAACGTGCATGTTGAGTATGCGCGAGTTTTCGGCCTCCACGGCGTCGGTGACGGCCCAAGAGGCCCCCAAACCCGCTTCAGGACGGCCCAGGGTGCTCCCAAGAGGATCAATACAGCCCGAGAGGGCCCTAAGACGACCCAAGAGGCGCCCAAGACGGCCCAAGGGACGCGGATGTGGCGGTCGACGACGGGGAGACGAAAAAGGATTAGGACAATGTGTTGCGCGACGTGCAGCCATGTCAAAGCCAAGCAAAAGTCGCGGAAAGGCAACGCGAAGTGGAACGAGAGCGTGGAACGAACGCGCCCGCGATGTACGAACGATAAGTGCCTGTCGCTGTATGACGGAAAGGCGGAGATGTCAGAAGCTCAGGAGAAGCACAAAACTGCGGGGGAGAGGCTCTGTCAGAAATGCGTGGAACAACGAGAGAGAGAGAGAGAGAGAGAGAGAGAGAGAGAGAGAGAGAGAGAGAGAGGTGCGACGGGGCAGTGCGGAGGCAGCGAATCGCAAACGGAAAGCCGAGGCGGACGCGAAGCCGCTGACGTGCGCGACGTGCGGAGGAGCGTTCTCGGACACGAAACATTTGAAGCCCAACCAAGTGGAACATCATCGAAAGGCGAAAGGAGCCAAAGTGGTGTGCGGAGGCTGCAAGGACTTCGGGTTCACAGCCCGCAGTTGCCAGCCGTATCAGTGCAGCGGCGCGTGCGAGAGAAGGCTACCGAAGTCGGCGTTCCCCGACCCGCACATTGTCCCGCGAGACGCCAACAAAAGGCACCCTGAAGTGCAAGACATGCAACTGATGTCGAATCGGGCACGCGTGCTGGTGAGAAAAAGGAGGACGGGACAGGCGAATGGAGATGAGGCGGAGGATAGGGGGGGGGGCGAATCATCGAATATGACGAGGCGAAGCGGACCAGGAACACGAGGAGGGGGACGAGGAGGAGGGGAACGTGGAGAGGGTGGAGGAGGACGAGGAGGAGGGGGACATTGAGATGAGGCTCTGAGTTATGGTCTATGGGTGAGAAATTCTTGTATGTGTATAGCGATTTATGGTCTATGGGTGAGAAATTCTTGTATGTGTATAGCGATTTCGCGGCACGCCTTTCGGGGACCTCTGGAAAACAGTTTTGAAGCCACCGGGGGGCCGAGTTGGACAAGGACGGTGAGGAGGAGGAGGATGAGGGGCACACGGAGGAAATGAAGAACGGGGGGAAAAGAATCGACGAGGATGAGGATGAGGAGAGGGAGGCAGAGGAAGAATGGGCGAGGGGCTTCTCGCGGGACTTTTGGAGGCAGTTTCGAAGCCTCTTGGGGGCCGTTTTGGGACCGTTTGGGGCTCTTTTGGGGGCCTTTTGGGGCTTCTTGGAGGCGTCTTGGGGGCCTCCTGAGGCCTCTTGGGGCCTTCTGGGGCCGTCTTGGGGCGGAAGGTTCGGATTGTCGGTTCAAGCTCCCCCTCTTGGGCCCCTCGTGGGGCCGTCTTGGGCAGTCTTGGGGGCCTATTGTGCCGTCTTGGCGCCCTCTGGGGCCGACTTGGGCGCCTCTTGGGGGCCTCTTGGGCCTTCTTGGAGCGGTCTTGGGGTGCTCTTGGACGGTCTTCAAGGCCGTGAAGGCCGACAAGTCGTGTATTATCAAAATGTACGTTTCCCATCGGAATTTCACAATTTTCAGCTCGTAGGCCCTTCTGAGGGCTGCTCTTGGAGGCCGCTTGGGCCGTCTTGGAGGTCTCTTGGCTCGTCATGGGACCATCTTGGGCGTTTTGGAGCGCTCGTGTGGCGTCTCGGGGCCCTCGTGGGCCGTCTTGGAGGCGTCTTGGGACCTTCTTGGCCCGTCTTGAGCCCCTTTCGGGTCCAAAAAAGCCCGTGAGTCGCTCGTCCGGGGCCCGGGGGGGGGGTCAAATCGCCGGTTTGGGGTTCCTGGGGGGGGACTTTTGGGGGGGGGAACTATCTCACACGCCTAGAGACCCACAAGGGGTCGGCGGATTCTGATGCTTATGATGAGGATGGTGATGATGCTGATGATGGTGATGATGTTTATGATGATGACCATGGTGATGACGCTAGTAATGATGATGGCCATGCTGATGCTGGCGATGATTTTGTCGTTGCTGATGAGGGTGGTGACGATGATGATGACGATGACTATGACGGTGATGCTGATGATACTGATGATGATGCTGATGATGCTGATGATGATGGTGATGACGATGAAACTTATGATGACGATGATGCTGATGATGATGATGATGATGATGATGATGGTGAAGCTGACGATGTTGATGATGCTGCTGATGGTGATGACGATGCCGGTGATGATGGTGGTGGTGATGATGATGTTGACGATAAGGATTGTGATGACGATCAGTTCGATGATGTTGTTGATGATGATGGTGATGATGATGAGGATGGGGATGGGGATGATGACCTTGACGATGATGATGCTGATGATGCTGATGATGATGATTATGATGATGATGCTGATCGTGATAGTGGTGATGATGCTTGTGGTGGTGGTGGTTGTAGTGATGGTGGTGACCAGGATGAGGCTGATGCTGAGGATTATGATGTGGATGCTGATGATGATGATTAGGACGATGATGCTGCTGCTGATGATGCTGGTGGTGGTGATGATGCTGCTGACGATGATTATGATGCTGCTGCTGATGATGATGCTGGTTCTGATGATGATGATGATTATGATGATGATGATGCCGATGCTGATGCTGATGCTGATGATGCTGATGTTGATGCTGTCGATTTTGATGATGATGATGATGCCGATGCTGATGCTGATGCTGATGATGCTGATGTTGATGCTGTCGATTTTGATGATGATGATGATGATGATGATGATGATGATGATGCTGATGCTGATGCTGATGCTGATGCTGATGCTGATGCTGATGATGATGATGATGATGATGATGATGATGATGATGATGATGATGATGCTACTGCTGCTGCTGCTGCTGCTGATGATGATGATGATGATGATGATGATGATGATGCTGCTGTTGATGATTCTGATGATGATAATGATGCTGCTGCTGCTGCTGATGCTGCTGCTGATGATGATGATGAAAAAGAAGAGGAGGAGGAGGAGGAGGAGGAGGAGGAGGAGGAGGAGGAGGAGGAGGAGGAGGAGCAAGAGGACGGTCGTCACGAGCGACACCTTTCGTCCTCGCTTCTCGAGGAGGTCTCATGGAGCTCACCTGAGCTTTCTTGGGACTGTCTCGGGCCCCTGTGGGGCAGCCCTGGAGTTCCCTAGGCCACTTGGAGGCCGTCTTGGGGCCGCTTTGGGGCCGTCTTGGGGCCCTCTGGGCCGTCTGAGGGGGTCTCTCGCGGCCGTCCTGGGCAGCCGTCCTGGGGCTCGTCTCGGGGCCGTTTGGGGCCGTCGAGGGCGTTCTGAGGCCGTCGTGGTTCCCTCCGGGGGCCCTCTTGGGCCAGCTTGGGGCTCTCTCGCGGCCGCCCTGGGCCGTCTGGGGGCCCTCTTGGGTTGCCTCGAGGCCGTTTTGGAGGATTCTTGCGCTATGTTGGGGCCCTCTTTGGGGCCATCTTGGAGGCCTTTGGGAACTTCTGGAGCTCAAGGAAGCCCGACCAGGTGAAGGCACGCACTTAAGACCCAGGGGAAGTCCAGGATCTCGTTTTTTTTTTTGTCGGGCCCCACTGGGGGCCCTCTTGTGGCTCTCTCTTGGGCTGCCTTGGTGGCCTCGTGCCTCCTGGAGGCCACCTCGAGCCGACTCGGGGCCACCCCGGGCCGTGCTGGCGGCCTTCTCTGGCCGGCCGGCTCGGTCGTCCTGGACGCACTGGGAGCGCGCAGCCGCGGCTGCGTTACGAGGGGTCGTGGCCTCCTCCTCCTCCTCCTCCTCCTCCTCCTCCTCCTCCTCCTCCTCCTCCTCCTCCTCCTCCTCCTCGGCGGCGCGGCCCCAGCTCGCCGTGCAGGGGCTCGTGGCCTCGGGAGCGCGGGCAGATGCACGCCGGTCGTCGAGAGAGCAGGGATTGTTTGGACTCCCGGATCCCGATCTGCGTCAAGCGCCTTCCTGCTTCAAGAGCCGACATGCTGTTGCTGTGTGTTTCGGTGTTCTCTGGGAGGGCCTGGACCCAATCTGCTATACCCGCCCTCCTACTTCATGCTTCTGCCCACTTCTTCCCACCGGCGTGTGTATCTATATATATATATATATATATATGAACAGATCTCCTGGGCTCGGGAGCGTGGACCCGTGGTTTGCTACGAGCGAGATCGTGGCCTCGGGAGGGGGCGGGGCGAGAGGAGCGCGCCCTCGAAGGCCGCAGAAGCCTCACCGGCCAGCCCCCCGGGCGCTGTGCCACGCTGCGGCGTGCCAGGCGGGCACGGTGGCGGATCTGCGGCCGCAGCGCTTTGCACATGCAGAGCGCGTGTCCGAGTCGCTGCCTCCCTCGAAGCCGTCTGGCGCAATACCGTTTGAACAACATTCCTAGAGCAGTTGGAAGCATTCGCACCGCGCAGGCGCCGAGATGCAGGCGATCTCTGCAGCTCGGCGAGTTTCTCGTGTCTTCTCCGGAAGTGTAGAGCTCGGGCAATGCAGATAGGAGTTCGTCTCGAGTCGGGCTCAGCATCGCTGGGCATCGCTTGCCGTCATCATCGCTGCCATCACTACTGCTGGACCAAGGCGTCGCCAGACCAGACCAACCACAGTTGGGGTGGCTGTGGTCCTTACTGCCCACCTGGGGGACCGAGCGGCTTCGGCACCCCTCTCGAGAAACCATCGATATGATGGGCTCCCCCCAGTGTGGGTGAAGAGCACGGCTCCCCTAGTCGTGGTTGGCCGGCGTGCTCACTGACGACGAGCTCCGCCATGGCCTCGCACGATCGCTAGAGTTGAGACTGCGAAGTTTGAAGATCCACCGTGAAGCCTATCCAGCTGCCTGCGGCAAACCCCGCCACCGTGCCTGTGCAACAGCGCTGCAGGGAGGAGACTGCGTGTAGGAGCAGTGCAATTCCGACGAGTCGTCTGATAAGGGCGGGTCGCAAGCTCGACCTCCTCTTCGTCCGTGCGGTAGGAAGGAGGTCAAGTTCACACCCCGGGGCAGTTCAGCGAGTGGTCTGAACTGGGGACGGTCGTGATCTTGAAATCGTCTTCGTCCGCGCGGAAGGGAGGAGGAGGAGGAGGAGGAGGAGGAGGAGGAGGAGGAGGAGGAGGAGGAGGAGGAGGAGGGACAGGAGGAGGAGGAGGATGATGATGAG